GGCGTGGTAATTCGGCAATGATGGTACGCATTGTGCCATATGCAGTAATCCAATTTGGAGCGCATGAAGAGATCAAACACATACTACGAGTTGATAAGGATGGGTAAGTATCTTGGATCCTAGATAGTGTGGCATCTTTTCGTACTATTGAAGTATTGAACATATTTGGTGGTTTTTTATTTTGGCCGATTTATCTCGAATTTTTGCTTACAGGTTATAATGCTTCTGAGAAAATTCCATTTATTTTACGCTGTAATTCAACTGCGAGATTATTATTCGTAACATTCCTAAATTTAATACTGTTTCTAACTCGATTCTAGGAGTGTGTTTTCATTGAAGTTTGGTCTTTATTATTAGAATATTAAAATTTGATTTTATAGGAAATTCTTTTTTATGCTGAAATAAGGTTTCAAATATATAAGGTGGTTGACTTCTAACTATTCAGGATAAGGACTCCAGTGAAGCGTTATATTGCGGGGTCTTTAGCAGGAGTAGTTGCAACAACATGCACATATCCACTAGATACAGCTAAAGCACGTTTAGCTACATCAACCGTCAATGAATATAGTTCCTTACTAAATGTTTTTGTCAAAGATTACCAAAGATACGGTGTCAGGTATGTGATTTGCCAAATAATTATGCTATTTTGATGTACATTTAATTTACTTGATTACATGTTGTGTTTAATGTAATTCAAATAGAATATAAATCATTGTTTAGAACACATGATTATACTACAGGTCTGCATGGGTTTTTCAATTATAATCGCAAAAAAATGGAATATTGAATTCCACAGTAATATTTTAAGGAATAATGTATTATTCATCATCTTAACAGTATGCGAAAATTTTAATTGCAGAACGTTCTACAACGGTTTAATTCCAGCTTTGATGGGAGCCATACCTTACGCAGGCGCCAGTTTTTTTATTTTTGAGACACTTAAATTGATTTATTTTGGTGAGTTCTCGGTTGCATTTCATTTTCTCATGTGTTCTTTCATCGGTTGCCTATGAGAACGACAAAATAACAGTGATTAGATGATTAGATAACAATGATTGGATGTTAAAAATGATTAAATTTAATTTCCAATCCCAAAATGTTTATGTGTCCAAGACATTGTGTATCGCTCTTTTTTATGTCCATTTTGAAAGTAGACACCTAAAGCTAATTCGAGGAATCAACATTACAGTGATGTCTCAAGGAACAACAAACTATGTATTAAAATTTAGCGAAAAACTAATATAAATCCTGAGTATACTTTTTTTTTTTCTACGTAGTTTATTTTCTATAAATTTCTTCAAATAATTTGTCACAGGAAAAAATTTCATTTTGAAATTAAATTTTTAGCAATTTGTAAATTGGGAAGTTTAATTTTATTGTAGAAAGAACGAACAAAGAGGTTCCATCTGTGTATCGTCTTCTTTTCGGTGGTTTTGCTGGTTTAGTTGGTCAGTCCTCGTCCTATCCGTTCGATATCGTACGACGTCGCATGCAAACACTCCGTATCCCTACTGGGCATAATGTTTTCTATAGTCTATATGTAATCGGAAAAACCGAAGGCGTCAAAAATGGTCTTTATAAAGGTCTCAGCTTGAATTGGATTAAAGTAAGTCTAAATTAAACAATTGATGAAGGTGTCTTTGTTGATTAAAATTTACCGACGACCTGAGAGTATGATCTGTGATCTGCTTTGCACGAATCTTTTGACATATCTTGTGCAGATATTCCTTCCGTCCTATGATCTCCAGATTACACAAGAAAGTGGTTGTAATAAGAATAATTATTTCTTAAATTTTGGTGCCAATTTTGAAAGTTATGGTTCAGCTCTGAGAGTAAGAAAGTCACTCATGCAGTCCGATGGAAGTTTTGATTATTTAGGAATACTGAAATACAGATTTATAAGGAAATGTAATATTTCAGGGTCCGATTGCTGTTGGTATTAGTTTTACAGTGTATGACACTGTTTATATGCATATCAATCAGCTACTGGAAGTTGAAGCTTTGAACCGATAGTAGTTATGAAGTTGAAAGATGAATCAAATTTTTTAGATGGCCAAAATAAAATTGCAGCAAATGCTTATTTGTCTTGTGTATTTGTTTAGGTAATTTAAAAAAAAAAGCCTGCAAATTTTAATTTGTAAAGTTTTAAGACAATTTGATTCTCGAATTAACCACACATTTAATATTCTGTTTTTGTAATGATTGAAATTAGTAGATGTTTTTGGTGCATTCATTTATTGCATCTCGGCTATTAAGTGCAATTTTGATGTTTTAATAGAATTGTTTACCTCGTAGTAGTGCACCGACATATTCGTTCTCTAGTTTACAACCTCGAGGATACAAAAAGCTTATGGACATGAATCACCAAACCGGTGGTTCATTTGTCTCATATATATTAAGTATATATCAATTGCAATATCTAAGCGTCTTTTCAGCATCTAGATTGAAATGAATTTGTTTCACGAAAATCGGTTTTATTTTTAAACTGATGCAGATTGTCCAATTTAGATTTTGGTGCTTTCAGCAGTTTTTAAAGGGTTTTTATGGTATGGTATTGCTCAGTTTCTTCTTTGTGCCTATTTGGAAATTCTCTTTAATTTTGTTTCTTTTCCAAGTTAATGTGAATTCACCAGATTAGTTTTTCCCGCATATAGGTTTTATTTGAATTTTTGTTCATTCGTTTTGTAATTCTTGAAATGAAAATATATTGTAACAACATAACTCTGTGATAATGTCTCCTTACGCTTACCTCTCATTTCTACTGACAACAATAGCCAGAATTTGGTTTCCTTATGTTCTACCATATGGAAATATGAGCAGCAGTAGGAATTAAAAATTAGAACTATTGCGGTGATGGTTATGGTGATCAAAAATTGAACAAAGAAGTCTGAATTCTTTTAATCTAATACGTCTTTCACACTTTTTAAAATGATTTTTTACCAGTTTATTCAAATTACATCACAATAAGATTTAACAAAATTTCTCAACTTCTCAAAGGAGTAATTTTTTAAGGTTCGAGTGTAGCAATTTCATAAGTCTTTCATAGGTTCGGGAAATTCATCTCAAAATATAATGCTGTTTATTTCATTTCTTCCACATCGATGACAATTTTTATTAAGTAAATCAGTTTTGATAGTGCATTTTTATTGTTTGGATAATTCCGTAAACATCTGAAGGAACAATACCTGTGATAATATTAAGCTACAGCTATAATGAATGAAGTAGAGTTTTGTTTCAATGAGACAAATAAGTTCAATAAATCATAAGATATCTGATAAAAGTTATCATGGTAGTTTCTGTCATATTAAAAAATATTGTTTCATTTATATTTATTATAATTATTGTATATTTCGTTTGCCATAAGTAGTTATTTCAATATAAATTTGTGACACGTTTTTTCTTCTGAATAAATTGAATCAAATCCTCCTGAAAGGATACTATATTCATCAAATTGTGCATGCTATTGCATGAACTGACAGGTTAAACTTCCGAATTCTGCTTGTTTCATTTTTTTTTTCTTCAGGAGGAGAAAAAATAGCGGAAAACTAGCAGAATATAGAGTTGAGTGTTTGGATGTTTAATAATTTAAAGTCTCAAGCGATAATTAGAAGATTTTCAATCAAATTTTTGATATCTTCATTTGATATCTTCGATTGGATTACTATTCGAGAAAAATAGATGAAGGAATTGATATAAGTATTACTGCTGATATATTTAATTTACGAAGTGGTAGTTCTGTCATTTAGGAAATTGACAAACGTTACTAATGAATGATTACAACCAAATCATTAATGATTAGTACGCGAAAATCAAACCTCGTATGACTTACTTTTAAATGTTTCATTATTGTGCATTTTCAAATAATCTTCCTTATAAACCCCGAAAGTTACATATTCCATTTCCACGCAGAATTGTTGTAGGTTGCAGCTGTCGCTTATAATTAACAATTTTCAGATTTAATCTTTTTTTCTGAACCACAGAAATGATAGTTGACACCAATTCCTGTATAGCAATTTTATTTAGTGCTGATATACCACATCAGTTCATTACAATTATTGGGTTATTACAACTAAATCATTGCATTAAATACTTGTATCGATGAACTTACTGATTATTTATATAACTTATCAATTCTCGTGCGTTATTATTAATAACATATTAACTTAAATCTGCAAGGAAAAGAAAATTTATCTAACCAAAAATGACTGTCATTCAATCGTAAATTGCATGGGATGGTGGTTTGCAAGCACTTCTGCAAAATTCCATTTATTAAACCAATTTGGTAAACAATCAATCAATCTTTGGTTTCGCTTATACTTTATGTATGAAGCGGACCACTAATCACTGGATGACCCTGTGACCTTTCGCTAAAATCGATTTTCAATAATCAATAAAATGGACTCAACAATATGGCTTATACCGGTTCTTGAAGTGATCCACATTTTCTTTAAATTTAAGGATGGGATAACAAATTTCAGTATGACACTGGTAGTGTAACACTGTGCGAATTGTGCCACAAATGTGTTTAGCTGGTTTGTATTCCAGTGGGTTATGTGAATGCTGTTTGTAGGTGGTTTGTTTTTGTTTTCCGGAATACGTTTTTCCGAATATTGGCATTTTATTAGGAATGGTTTTATTAATAAAGTTTTATGGTATTAAGAAATCGTCGTACATTTTTTAAGGTTTTGTTGCTTTAGATTAGATATTAATTTATTAAAGGCTTTGCACTATCATCGTATGATAGTAGTGATATAAGTTGGCATAAAATCTGGGGAAAAATAATGACTGTTGGTATTTGTAAATGTATTATCCGTTTAATTATTAAATAATCTTAACAGCTAATGATTTTTTAAGATCTGACCGATTTATTTATATTAAGCTGGTCGAATGTGGAGTGTTGTGTAATTGTAAAAACATTTTAGGATCAAAAAGTTTTTCCATCCAATTAACATATCATAAAAGTGGAAAGTTCTGAAGGTTACAATAATACAAGCAGCAAAATGGGACGAAAAGCTATGAAAAATTCAGTACCAACATGTAAGTTACTTTGGTTTTGCCCATGTTTCTTGGTTATATTATTTTCTACAAATCCTAATTAAATATTTGGTCCATTTCTGTTTTCAACAAGGTTGGTATGTACCAAAGTAATATAATAGCGTCGACGGTGGTTTAATAGAGAAAGATAACTAATAGTTTGAATCATTCGTTGTACACTTTCCTTAGCTGGCATATGTATATATCTTTATCTGCACATGTTTTCACATGACAAACGATTCAGTTCTGATATATGTGGTTCTTCAGTTTTGTGCTTTGCTGCTACTACTTTTGATGTGTTGTTGAAGAAGTGTCATGGAATATTATAGTGACATTTAACACATTAGCATTTATGTGTGGGCACTGAAAATAGACTAAATTTTTGATCTACATTTACTTTCATTTTATTTCGAATGGTCTTTTTCAGTACTAATAACTTGAGATACTTTCAGCTGATCTGAAAACTGGCGATGTAGTTTGGGCTCCATATCGACGTTTTCCGGAATGGCCAGCACTGGTTTGCTTTTGCTTTTTTTTGTTTTTTCTTTTAAAGTACTGAGAAAATGATTTATTCTATTGTTAAGTAAATGACTTCTATATTCCTGTTTGAAGCATTAAAAACAACATGAAATAGTAAATTTCAGGTTCGTTGTGTCTATCCTAAAAAAGTCACGTATACATTTTTACCAACTGATGAAAGCTCAAATTTGAAGTCATCAATTTTCAGCTGTCCACCACAAAAACTCCGACTTTTAACTGGCAGTGAACCTGTTAGTTTTACCTTTAAACTTTTAAATTTATAACCTTCTTTGAACTGGATGATTGTTAATATCATCTTTATCTATTATAGTTACCTGCTGGAGCAAAAAATGACATGAAGGAAGCCTACAAAGCAGCACTTGAAATATTGAAGAAAAATGGACTTTTAGGTGCTGATCATCAGATGTCAGGTACAGTCAATATATTAAATTCAGTTTAAAATCTTCTGATTTCATAGAAAAGAATGAGATAAAAAGATTGAAGGCTTTCTTCATTATGCGAATATTTTTCTTTTATCAACTTAAAAATGATGCGGAAATTTACCAGTCATATGAATGCATAATGAGAGATTTATCATAATGTATTGCCAGAGTTTAACAGTCATTTCTGCAGAAGAATTAGCAGTATTTAAAGCAAGCGAAATCAATAAACAGAGCGTTCTGGGTGACCTTGTAAAGAAGGCCAAGAAAGACAGTGATGCAGCAAGTAGCGGCGATACGGCAAGTAATGGAAGCGCACCTCATGTTTGGGGTATTGGTGAAGTTGTCTGGCTCAGTATGCCAAATCATTCAGAATGGCCAGTTGTGGTAAGTTTTAATAAAATTTAATAGCCAGGTGGTACTGGATTTTCTCGAAACCTAATCCTTGATTCTTTTTTTTAGAAATAATTAGATTTTATGTTATATTGGAATTCACTTAGTACGTGAAATCCGAAAGTAACTTTTCTAGAAGATAGAGAGTGGCAGTTCTGTTCTTCACTTCTTGAATAATGATATTTAAAATGTTTTTGGTTCTGCATAGTTGTTGAATATACATCTCTCTTGAAATTGATTTAAAAAAAAAAAAAAATAGTTTTCGTGTATTATACCCTGAATAAGCCAAAACAAAATATTTCATGTGAAAGCAGTAGCCATTGCATATTTACCTATTGATATTTTTTATCGATATTATAGTAGTTGAGAAATGCTTAATAATAAATAATTTCAGATCCGTGAATTGAAAAAGAAATTTGCAATGGTGGATGCTTTTCCACTCAAATTTAATTGTAAACCCGAGCGTTACCCATTGAGTGCTTGTCAGAAATTTGAATTAACAGGCAAAAATTTGGAAACAGCCATTAGAAAGGTTTTTTCATAGCATAATTTATTCATCAGGATAGCTACAATTTTGTATTTGTAAAGTAATTTTAAGCTTGATTTATATCTTACTGTCAATTGTGGTGTTGCTTTAGAAATTGGTTTCGAAATACTCTTAACGTTACAGTTGATGTTAGTTTATTTGTAAATCAAAATGCTGTTTTTTTCAAGTAGATAGGTGCAGTTCTGTTGTATTTTTGATCTAACTAGTTTTCATATCATTACATGTACTACTCTGTTAATGTTGTGATTTCGACAATAGCCTTGAATTACTTAAAATATTATGCTTTACTTTTACTTTGAATATATATGTATTTTCAGGAACGAAATTGCGAACTACGTATGGCACTTCAAAGTGTAATGAAATATTTCAAACGTAGAGAACAAATGAACAACATGGAGAAATCTGACACGGAGGAGAATGATACAACAAAGGTTGATATCGAAAATGATGCACAGCCGAGACGTAACGGAAAGGATAGAAGTACCACTGGTGGCTTGGAAGAGGAATCGATTGATGGTGAAGCAGAAGCGAAATTAGCTGGAATGTTAAAGGAAGGAGAAAATAAACGTGGTGGTGAGTTTCAATACAGTTTATAACTTTTTCTTTATAAACATGTTTGAACGCGAAATTTTATAGTCAACATTGTGAGGAGTATGATTCGCGAAAAAAGTGGAAATCTTTACGTTTTTTTGACCGAGAAACTCATTTGTCATAAAATGTCAAACATGATAGTTTTTTTAGAAGGAATCAAGAGATCTGGAAGTTGTCATTTGCAGTGGTTTAGGAAAACTGAGAACTATTTCAAACAAAAAACTTTTAGGTAAGAGGCGTGTGGATAAGTCACCATCTCCAGCAGCAAAAAGACAGAAATTTTCGGATGTTATGAAGGATTTAGAAACTGAATTGAGCGAAAAGTTGGAAAATTTAACTAAAGGTGATCTAGCTTGGATTAATCGAGCACGAAGTGGCCGTATTGTCAAATGGCCTATTCTTGTATGTTTATTTTACGTTTTACATTAAATACTTTTCATGTTTTCTTGTTCATCTGAAACAAGTAATGTAATCCAGACACGTATTCAATTCATATGGGTATGTATCATCAAGATTATAAGGGAAAGATCCGTCCGATGTGCTTGGATTTGAAAAGAATTAATGATTTCAGTTTGAATAATGATAGCTTATTAACATTTCAAATTGAGCTATTCAGTATTATACTTTTTATAGTGCTTTACTGAGGTTCTCTGAAATGTAAATAACGAATGGAACTCCTTGACTTAATGTAAGCATTTGTTGGCTTTACTTTTGTTTGTTTAGGTTTTGAAAGTAGACAACGTCAATAAATCGTGTGTTTGCACTGAACTACCATTAGATGATATGTCGGCTAATGCAGAATGGTAAGTTAAAGTTATTCAAATGTATTTACTGTTAAATGTTATTCAGCACTCAACACTGGAAAAAAAAAAAAATTGAGATGCTAAGTCAGTTTTTTACCATACGTTATAATTTTTTGTTTAGGTGTTTGAATTCAGAGAAGACCCGCGTGGTACAGTTGAAAAATATCTATCTATATGATACAGTGGAGGCAAAAGTTGATGTAAGTTAGAATCGTTTGTGAATTTGACTTTATTTTATTATGTTAACCATTTGTTAAGCTAAATATGATTTTAAATATGACATGTTTTCTCTTCGCTATTCTGCATGTGCTAATGTTTTCGCAGATTACATAATTGAAATTTCCCAGTTCATGGTCATTGCACTTTGATACTACTCAACCACTATTTAAATTTTATTCATTTTGGACTTTATGCTTCAAACCTTTAGTAGCTTCAAGAAGTTTCCAAGTTTCACGAATGTATCTTTATGAGAACATTATTGTGATCATGATTAACAAACCGTTGAAATTGTTCAAGTTTGATGAAATGTACCGATCCAATATAATGTACGACATTTGTCATCCGTAATTTCGGGAAACGGTGAAATTGTCAGTTCCCGATGTCCGTTGTGATGGAGGGAACAGTTTTGATAATAATGGTATAATTGAAATATATTTTGCTACGACTTAATATTTTGCTATTTATGTGCTGAACGTATTTGATCTAGTGTTTCAATCATACTTAAGGAAATCGAGGACGCGGAACTGAAAGCAGCTATTCAGCAAGCTGACGAAATTGCTGAGGGTAGTTATCGACCTTTTGATGATGAGCGAAACAATTTCGATAAGAATGGTATAATTAAAATACATTTTGCTATGATTTAAATTGTTATGCACATCTGTGATGATAGGCACATGTGTTCTTATGAGCTATCATTGCGAACTAGTTATGATATATTTTTAAAATGTATTATATGAGAGGAACATGACTCTTATTTGTATTGTAGTCATTCATTGAATGTATGTTTCAGAAAATTCAAGCATCCGAGAAAATGGATGCAAAGCTGCATCGAGCAGTGTTTTGTCACCTAAGGAAATTTTGCGATTATGCAAATCGGAAATGTGTGCAAGACATTTAATGGCAATTTGGACTGGTCAGTTCACGTGTACACGTCATGCTGGCTATGAACCACCAGTTATGGCTCCCCTGCATTTTGAATTAAATATTGGTTAGTTTGATAAATTGATGATAATTGATAGCAGTGATCTGATCTATTTACATTCATTTTTATTTTATCCCGTGCTGCTAACCTTCTAATTTAAATAAAAGATTCGATTTTGCCAAGAATTTGAATCCGATTTGTTCAAGTTTCTGAATTTTGATAGTTTTTTTGTATTGTAAGAAGTCATATTCGTAAGCTTTTTAATTTTTCTTTTGGTTTTTCACTTATCTGTTTTTTAGGAAATTTGTTACCAGAAACGGATGCGACCTCATTGGTTGAGCATTTGGATTCAACTGTTTCAAAATTCAAAGATGCAATGAAGTCATCATTACGTCGGCTCCACTATGTTACTACAGTTGCAGTACCGGAAGCAATCATTTTTGCTATTACACAGGTTTCTTTTTGGCGGTTATCAAGAAGTGCGCTGAGCAATAACTGATGAAAAATTGGATTTGAGATAATACTAAACCCCGTTTATATTCTATGCCTGTGGTATATATTCAAAATAATTTGTTATGGGCAGTCAACAGTTTTCTCCAAGAAATGGTGCATTAAACTTGTGAATCCAAACCATATGTGGCCTAATTATCGTCAAACTTGTAAAATTTTGTCAAATTTATTTTAATAGATATGTCATGTTTAAAGATTCGTTACTGTTCTGGAAGTGAAGCAAATGAGATTTTTGAAAATGCATTACTGAAGAAAGTGGAGAGGACTCCTAGCGAGCCGAGTGACGAAATTGGTGCTACGTAAGCTTTATATTTTTGAACTTTTATTAGCATTTAACCATGTGCCATCATGCCTATTCTTCTAGTTGATACTCTTACTAAGTCAGATGTTAATTTTTTTGAAAGCCGAATTATTTGTCTTTTATACTCACAGTAAAAAATGAAATAAAAAAACCATTATTGAAAGAATGAACAAAGAAAGCGATGCTGCAGAGAATTTAAATTAATCGCTATTCATCTGAATCAGATACATTCATAAAGTGCAATGAATTATATGTGAATTAGTCGTTCTTCACATCTTTACAGCATAATATAGTCTCGTCTCTCATGTATTATTTCACTTAAGATGTCATGGGAGAAAATTCGTCATGACTATTGCATTCTTTACAATGACGTTTATAAACATAATATTTGGCCATATTTTGTCTCATTAGTATAAATCTAATAGTAGTCTGATGAAAAATATGTGAGTGGCTATGAGTAAGAGAGTAGAATCAATTGTAAATTAAATAATTAAGGTAGTTAATGTATGATATAAGAATCAGTAGAATGAATGCTTATTTTTTGTTCTAAAGTCGTGCAGTTATCTACGGCTCATCTAACATTAAAAATTATTACATGGGTGTTGTTATTGAAGATTGACATTTATGTCCTGAAGTTCGGCTAATTTGTCATAAGCTTGATGAACAATTTCTTTCAGAACTGGATTCGAGCAACTTCTGAAGGCAGCATCCAAAGTTCGGTGTGCTGCACTGGGAATGGATTAGGTGGTGTTCGAAATAATGACATAGTATTGTCTTTCTTATACTTCATTCTGCAAATTATTTATTGTATGTTAAATGCTTAAATGAATTGATTTGTTTTTTGTTTTTCTTTTTTTTTTTTTCTTTTTTTTTCTATTTTTTCTTATCACACGTTATGCACCTCAGTTTTTCTTGCATGTTAATCCTGAGGATAATAATCCAAAAATGTAAATAGAAAGTGAAGCCTACAGCGTATTCTTGTTTTCAAAAAAGGTGGAAGGCATTCAATATATAGATTAGGTAAATTAAAGGACCTTAATTTCGTTCTTTTTATCTAAAAGCTTAGTTTTACATCTTTTGGATTGGTCTGCTGAATTTCCATGAAGATTCGATCAATTTCTTACAAAACATTCAGTATTAGGAAAATTTTTTTATATATTTGGTGCTTTCAGATACATTTTCTCACAGGATATCCTTCATCCTTCTTTCCATTTTCTTTCTCCTCTCCCAGGAAAGAACAAAGACAAAGATACCGGGATGGTAAAATTTTTGGGAACAGCTGCCCAAGTTTTGGATTGTGGTCTGTTTAATTATTATTAGTTCCATCTGAATTTTTATTGTCATTATTTTTCTCTGAAAGTCTTGACCAATTGTATTTTGTTCTGATATTAAGGCACGCTATGGTCTGCAACACCTCTAACTGCCAATACACTTAATTTATCAAAATATGTACATTCTTTAATTAGTTCTCTGAATTTGACTGATAGAATTCTTTTTTTCAGAAAAGAATTCTGTCGTAATATATAGTCCTTTGAAGAAATGATTTTGGAAGAGAATTGGATTTTGATTCTTTTCAAAAGTATACGGATAGTACACTTTTGTTTGTCTTTTTAATTCTTTTGAAAAGAAATGAAAGAGAAATATTAATTTAGGGTGGACATCTTTTGGTTAAACTTTTTCTTGTTTGATATTTTCATTTATAATTTTTGTGTTTCATATTTCGCTTGCTAAAATCTATTTTTGTAAGTTTTAATATTTAAAATTCTTGTCCAGATGTTTGGGATTCTTTTGTGAAGTATGCGAAGTTTTAACCATTCCTTACAACAACAATATTTAAAAATTTCAAGTGTATACGCATAGCAATGATTGAATCGGAAATGATTTGGTTTTGGTTTTTTTTTTTTTTTTTTTTTTGCTTTTTTCAATAATTGAGTTTTAATGTGATTAGGCGATAGTTTTGCAAAAATTTTTGGTAAATCTGTGCAGATGGTATTATTTGCGCTTTCTGGTTTGTTAAACAGTATAAGTTGAGTGCCCTCTGCTACTTTACGATGAATTTGTTTTCCGATTCTTATCGCTTCCTGTTCCTAATATTTCTTGATTACAAAATAATGGATTTATCATTGATAAGAATAAATTCGGCCAATGAATATTGCTAAGGATTCGTCCACCATCATCTCACGGATATCATATGTCACTGATTGTTGATGAATATTTGATTATATTATAATTATTATCATTACCAATTTATTATTATTGTTAATTATTATTTTTATTATTATTTACTATCATTAAGAGGAAGCTTTTAATGATTGTACTGATCGGTTTTGTAACTGAATGATAGCTTTCTTGGCTGGCAAACATGAAAGTTTATTTCAATGAAGTCGAATAAATTCTGTTTAGCTTCATTTTGTAAAAATGATCACAGCTAATTCTGCTAAACTAAGGTCTAGAAATGATCATCGTATTTTGTATTGCTTCATTTCCTGGATTTATGACCAAAAAAAAAAATCAGAAGGAACTTTAATTGGAGAAATCATGGGAGTGACAGTTTCCAGTGTGTTTATTCTTTGATAAGTTGGTGTTTTATCGCAAAGTTTCAATTTACGAATAAAAGTTAAATTTTTAACAAAAAAAAGATCAAAGATAAACAAGTGAACAAAATGGGCTTTGAAAACTTAAGTATTAAACAAGCAAATTACCGGAAGTACAACTGTTAATTGTTGGTTGAAGTAATTCGATTTCTGTTTTTAAATTGTTCTGCAAAATGAGTCGTTGCCTGAATAAGAACTCAAATAATGCAATTGAAATTATATCCAAGTTTAATAATTTATCGAATATGTGTACATTGAAATTTCAAAAAAAACGCAAATACATCAGTTTGGTTTGTTCAAAAACCAAATGTAATGCTTACCTAAGAATGATAAAGACAATTACAATGAATTCTCAATTCAAATTCGTTTTCAAGGTAGATTAAGATTAAATCGAAAAGTTACAGATTAGATACAGATCATTCCATCTGATCTATATCTACAACACAACATTGACGTATGTGATGTCGGGTAAAATTTAATGCGGGCAAGAAACAAAAAAAAAAAAATTTTGTTGTAATTGCACACAGTGTCAACAGTATTTCTATTGATTTCCCTACGATATCACACAATATCACGCTTCCAAGAATTACACCAGCAGTCTACTGAACGTACATTACGTTGTAACACTTTTACGTCACTATCAATCCCCTGTCAAACTGTTAGTCATGCGGGTAACTATCGAATAGTCGAATGTGCCGAATAGTCTGCCGAACAAACTGCCGAATAGAATCTGTTAGAACTATCTGTCAATCTACTCTTTTTAAGCCTTCTTGTGGTGAACTCCATCTGAAGATGTCAACTTCTTATGATCTTTGCTCATACCTGTTTCTATATTTACGTATGGGTCGAGACGTATCTCCGTATGTAGTAGACACACCTTTTTTGGCTATCTGACCAAGCTAATATTCCTTTACAACTAGTTACATTTTTCGGCTTCACTGATATTTTTAACCGAAGAAGCCGAATACTTTCAGGTCATCTTGTTCAGCTTTCAACAGATCGTCGCTATCGATCGCTACTACATTCTTCTGATCTGTTTGAGTTCTCTTTTTCCAACGTCAAATATATTTGATGCATTTCTGTCATTGTATCTCCCTTTCAAGCTATTCTTCAACTACAATTTCTAATTCCAGCGAGGTTTCTTCTTTACATGGTGAAATTAATTTCTGAATGGAATGCATACTATAACTGTTAAACTCATTCTTCTAGAATCATTCTAAATACTTCACTCAGCATCAATACTAAGTTCAATTTCTTCTGTTATGATAATTAAATGATGGATTTTCTGAAACAGAGAAAAACCTGAAAAATGCCTAATGATGATTATCCAAAGTTATATTCTACGCTGTTTTGAATTTAAATTTATTTCAGATAACTTTTCCATTGCAATAAAACTGCTAAGTTCTTCGTTAAATCGTAATTCTTGCAAATTTCCTTAATGAAAACTGTTCCTATTCATTTGATATTTCTTAAATATCTCTTTCTATCTTTCAAGTTTTCTTTTCCTTTCGTTATTAACTTAATCTTCTAGCAATTTTCGATTGCTTCTCTTCAGTGCTGCTTTTTCTTCTACCTTTGCGTTGATAATTGTTGTTCAAGAAGTGTTATTTATCGTTGTAACGCTAACCGCTTAATTACCACTTAAATTCATTTCGCACTTTTGCAAGATGCTGGATAAAATTCGAATAAATTGAACTTTGCTATTGCCTCTTCCACTTATTTGCACTTTTATTTGTTTTAGCTTTTTCGGCCTGCAACATTCAGCTATCATAAATGAATGTCCTTTTGAATTTTTACTTCTTTCAACTTGACTCTTTGCTAGACCAGTGCTCTGATTCAGTTTTCTCCAGCTTTTCGTTTTCTTTCTTCTAAATTTTGTTGATTTACTCAAAAGTCCTTTCATAAAATTATTAGATTGGTTATTATTATTATTATTGAACTCATTTTTCTTTCATTTACTTTTTCCCTGAATTGAAATCTCTGTGATAGTCAATATATGCTGTTGAATTATGCTATCCTTTGCAGAGAAAACACAGCCATATATTCACTTTGAAGGTAATTTAGATGCATATCGATTTTCACTCAAATATTCTACCGCTTTTTCGCGGTGGAATAGACTTCACATTTGTCATCCTTCTTGCAAAATGACATTCTTTCCTTTTTCTCTTAACTAAATTCGATTTGGATTCTTTTTCTCATTGTCTTTCAGAATCATTTGTTATCATTTGATCCTCACGCGATTGGGCCAAGGCTCCTTTTCTTTTCGTTTCTAAACTGCTGATTCTCATTTACATGCACCGGAATCCTTTTCCAATCCGTGATTTCCGGTTCGAGCCATATCTTTCTCGGTTCTCGCTATTTTTCCCAGACAACTTCTTAATTTGTTGACTGACCAAGATTCATCCTCTTGTTTTTTCTGGTGTATCTTTAGAGATTTCTCTCAGCAGTCATTTCCAGATCAAGTTCTTCCTTATGGTTTCTAATTATCGGAGGATGTGTTCAATCGCTTCGATTGTTTCTGCTCCGTTCATTTCTTCTGATATTTTGAAATTTACTATACAATGAATTCTTGACGGTCATTTTGTCATAATAACGATATTTCTAGCGTCACATGTCACGAAACTCGAAGTAATCTCGCGAACCTCCAAATAAAATATATCAAATAAAATTGTATTAATCCATAATACTAAAATTCGTTTTAATTAAATATTAGCAATGTAAAATTATTTCAAATTATCTACCATGTAAGCAATCATTATTTCAAACTCATCTTCCCATTATAGTTGAGCTTATCTGCTTCTCTAGACATTTTTAACTAACAACAAAGGATTTGTTTAAATATGTTTTAAAAACTACTCGTCTGTTCCAGATCAAATTTGCTTGCAGTGTTGAATATTGTAAAGATTTTCTAAGCTAATAGTCATTCTTATATTAAAACTTACTAATATAAGAGTAAAAATTATCTGACAGCTCCTTACTCAATAATCATACTTTTATTGTAAGTCAGTGCCACCATATAAAGGTTTAAATCCTTCGTCTCAATCAGTTTTATCAGTATTTTCCTTATCAGTAAGTTACAATTCGGCGAAATTATCAGTATTGTTGCTATAGATTAATACCTATAATTGTGGTTGTTCGCAAATAAATTCATCACAACAGACCTATTATTCAACCTATTCGTCTACAATAACAAATAAGAAAGATTCTTGAGCATACGAAACTTCAATTCCACTCTAAACCATAGCCTATATTCAGGCTGAATCCCAAATTTCACGAACCTCATCATATTTCTCCTTTCGAATAAGAAAGGAAACTTTTATGTGTTCTTCATGATCAAACTTTATCAGCTGTCATCCACATAAACATTGCTGTATTCGAGAATGCAGCACCACATAAGCATTGCTGTGTTCGAGAATGCAGCACCACATAAGCATTGCTGTGTTCGAGAATGCAGCACCACATAAGCATTGCTGTGTTCGAGAGTGCAGCAACAATCAATGAATCGATTATCCCGATAACTGGGAAAATCACCAGTATTAGTGACAAATCTAGTGTTGGGACCAATTTAACCTCCATGTATTTTGTGAAGCACATGACACTAACCTAACCTAATCTCACCACCGCCAAGTCGCAGTTCGTCCCAACATCATTTCTTGTAGTATTCAATATACCTACCATTCAGAGGGAAGATCAACGGAAGAATTCGGTCACAATCCTTCATTTCTTCAACTATAACTTTGGTACATTACTTCAAACTATTGTTTTTTAATTCAAAATATTGTCCATCTTTCAATAATTGCATTGTATTTATGTACTGAGAGCAACCAACACTGAAATGAAATTGAATCTCTTTAAGAGTTGCAGAAAAAAAAAAAATACTAAAGAAAGGAAATGTTGAAGTACACTAAGACTAATCTAATATGAATTAACAGTGTTTTTATATTTCTGATAAATAAGATACTCTGTAGATAAGAATGAATGCATTTACTCGTAAAGGAAAAAAACGAACAAATTGGTTTCTAAGAAACGATTTCTGACCGTTCAACAGTCAAATCAATAGAATAGTCCATGTCCACAAATAATCCGGCCGGATAGATTTTATGAGCATTATTTTCGGTGCTTCATACATTCGATGCTTTCCGTATCCGTAATGATGTAGCTGGATTTTGCATTTCCGTAATAATATATTTTCGCGATAGTACATTTGTACTTTCTCAACACCGTGTTTCGATCTCTCTCTCTCTCTCTCTCTCTCTCTCTCTCTCTCTCTCCCTCTTGCATATTGTTATTGATTTTCCCTTTAGTAAATGCAACTTCTTTTTCATTTTCATTTAGCGTTCCCTCTCACTACACCCATATTTATTGTTGTGAGGTTTTTCTTAAATTTTCCAATTTAACAAAACTTTAAACAATGAAATTCCAATTTCGGAAACTCACAGCAAATTTCAAACATTTCCAGAAAAGAGCCATAAAAACGGAATGAAATTTCACTTTGAAAACAAATACCAATCATCAAATCTTACATCAATGCCAATGGTTCTATTTTGAATATTCTCGAATTTTCCACAAATTGTCACAATATGTGACAGACATACAGACACCATCGATTGATTTGTCCGTCTGTCTTCCTCCTTAGCAATGCAACTCTCTCTCCGTTACTTCGATAACATTCCTCCTATTTCTCCGTTCTCTTTCTCGTCTTTCCCTTTCTCTTACTGCTCCAGAGAAAACACAGTGAGTTCATTCCCTTTTCTCTCTCATCCTCTTTTCTGTTCCACAACGTGTTGCTAATTTGTTATTAGTGTTCCAGGATTGGTTGATAGTGAGCTAACTGCATTCCGGCAAGTTCCTTCTGTGAAGAATCCTCTCCTTATTGTTCGTATTCAGATTCCGGAAAGTTCCTTCTGTGAGGAGTCCCTCCCTTTTTATTGTTCGTGTTCAGATTGTTTTCGTTATTCCGGAAAGTTCCTTCTGTGAGGAGTCCCTCCCTTTTTATTGTTCGTGTTCAGATTGTCTTCGTTATTCCGGAAAGTTCCTTCTGTGAGGAGTCCCTCCCTTTTTATTGTTCGTGTTCAGATTGTTTTCGTTATTCCGGAAAGTTCCTTCTGTGAGGAGTCCCTCCCTTTTTATTGTTCGTGTTCAGATTGTTTTCGTTATTCCGGAAAGTTCCTTCTGTGAGGAGTCCTTCCCTTTTTATTGATCGTGTTCAGATTGTTTTCGTTATTCCGGAAAGTTCCTTCTGTGAGGAGTCCTTCCCTTTTTATGAACTTCGGTGTGGAATCTCCCTCCCTTTTTATCGATCCTACTTAGCAGATTTCTTTGTTATTCTGGAAACTTCCTTCTGTAAGAAATTCCCCTCCCCCTTACCTACCGTACTCCCTCTATAGAAATTCTTTTCTCCCTTTACCGTGTTTCATCTCTCCCTTTATCTGTCGCATTTAGATTGTTTTTGTTATTCCAGAAAGTTCCTTCTACGAGAAGTTTCCCCCTCCGTTTTTGTTTTCTGAGTTTGTTGTTGTTATATATTCATAAACAAGTTCCAGCTACTTAAAAAGTGTGGATTCCGGAAAACATGCCATATTTTACGATTGATACAAACATACCGCAGAATAGCATTTCGAGTGCTTTCCTAAAGAAGGCATCAAATGTGGTTGCAAAAGCACTCGGAAAACCGGAAAGTGTAAGTGGGCTTTTGAGCGTTAAATTTTTGTTTTTTCTGCAATGGAACTTGAAACTGTTATAAGATCGAGAGAGAGAGAGAGAGAGAGAAAGAAAGAGGGAGAGAGAGGGAGAGCAAGATAAAGGAAAAACTAGTATGATCCTAAATTTATTTCTAATTCTTCCAGAAGAACATTATGTAAAGATTAAAGGATTCAGTTTTCAAACGTATTCAATTTAATTTCTAACGGTATATCTTGAGCAGTGTTCAACATTTCTTCTTTTGACTTCTGTAGCGCTAGAGTTATCTTATTACTTTCACTCTTGGAATTCATGTTATGCTTGCTACTAGCTTATGCTACGTTAATTATAAGGTATTGTACAGTTGTGATATTCAAATTGTGAGCGCTAAATAAAGTAGAATGAATCACACGATAGTTCGATCTTTAGTTAAATCAGATTTCTATCAAATATGGGAAAATAAAATATGCTAAGAGTTATAGAAGTCCGTGTATTCATTATTTGCCTCATTTGCATTTCCGGATTATGGATTTTTTAGATGGTGAGGATGGAGGATAATGAAAATGATGGTTATATAGTGACTATATTTTCATGCTTACACTTTTTTATTATTTTTAGTATGTATCAATCCATGTGAATGGTGGACAAGCGATGGTGTTTGGAGGAAGTGAGGATCCCTGTGCTGTATGTGTCTTGAAATCGATTGGTTGTGTTGGTCCTAAAGTCAATAATTCGCATGCAGAGAAATTGTACAAATTGCTTGCTGATGAGCTGAAAATTCCGAAGAATCGGTTTACTTCAATTTTTTTAATCTACACATTCTGAAAATGAAAATTAGTTGCTTAATTTTTGTCAAAAATTTTGTCACTTCTTCTTTGATTTTTTCTCAATTTTCGCAAAATTTGGAAAAAATGGAGAGTTGTTCTTCAGATGCTACATCGAATTTGTGGATATCGAAGCGTCTTCAATGGCTTTTAATGGATCTACTTTTGGATAATTTACTGAAGAAATTGTCATTTCTGGAAGTTCGTGAACTTCAGTGAAACTTTATTTACAATTTTTTTAATTAACATTTTTGTTTTTAAACGTTTTTAATTTGTTATCTGAAGGGTTTGAGACAGAATATTATTTGTTGGGCAATAAATTCAATCATTCTTCAAATCATTCAAAGTTGGCTGAAACGTTTATTTATGACTGGTTGTTGGGAGAGAACGCATGCATTGTCATCAAGTATCTGTAGATAAACGCACGTCAAACGCTTATCAAAATTGTGTTCACCGCTTGCTACCAACCTTACATCTATCTCCATTAAAGGAAAAGAAAACAAAATCCGTTGATGAGAAAGAGATTTTGTCTAAAACGAAACTACATGAGGAAAGGGTCCCTTATAAAACGAACAAAAATTTCGGGTTTTCGGTAGTCCTTGTAACCCTCGAACGAGGTTTTTATTCATCTAGGTGATCTGTAAAGGATTGCTTCAACGAAACTATCCATTGCAATTCAAAAGATTCGAAATGTCATTGGAATTATTAGAAGCAGAAAGGAAATTCCACAAAACGATACTGCAGTAAAAAGTGTAAATTTAAGCAGATAGAAATTAAGCTAAAGAAAAAAAAAAGGAAAGGAGGGAAGAGGATAAAAGGAAGGAAGTGAAATTGATCTTTGCATATATATCCAGTTAATCAGTAGAATTATCACTATTTTATATTCAATCATATTAGCGGTGAAGTTTTCTAATGTAATAAATCTGTTTGATTATAGATAGCATTTAGTAATTCTTTCAAATTCAGCAAACATTCACATTATTTTTCCTTTTTCAGTCATATTAACTTTTAATATACAATTTAAGTGCAATTGATGTCTCTCATTTGTGCAAATTACGAAAAAAGGTGAAATTTATCCAAATCAAAAATGAAATGTTTTTTAAAAAATGGATTTGAAAAAATGTATCAAAAATAGACTTCGAGAGAAAAAAGGTTTTGTTTACTTAGCAATAGGGATAAAAAAAAATGATGGATAAATTTTTTTTTATGAGGAAGAAAGAAGAAACGCAGGAAAGATATAGCCAAATTATAAAAGAGCATATGACGTGATTGAAGAAGGCAATTCAGAAGTAACCGGATTTGCCGGATCCATTTAATCTTTTAACTTTACTCAATTTAGGAAGAATATTTACGCTAATATTAATTGGAATTACAAGGATAAAACTACTTTTGCAAAATTTCTAAGTAATCTGTATAGCACAGAAAATATCGACAAAACTTCTAAATGCTTTTTCTTATTTTTTTTCAAACTTTTTCTTATTCTCTTTATTATTGCTGAATTAATCGTGAATACATGCCTTCTCTTATAAATATAAATAAATAAAATGAACTAGCAAATAAATGCATCTAAACAATAAATATTTTAGCATTAAACCTTACCTTGCGACCATAATATCATACTGACAAGAACTAAAATTTAAATTTAGTAATAAAATTATTGAAATATATATATATGTATTGTTTTCAGAACTTTCTTATTATTTGTAAATCATCTATTTTTGTAATTTTTTTTAATAAAAGAATTGCAAAATAATTAGCATTTTATCAATAAAATGATATTATTTACCTGACCAAGGCACTCATTTTTTTTCCTTATAACAATCATTGTGAAATATTTTTCTCTTAGATCTCTTAAAGAATTATATAAAAAAAAAATTGAAAAATTTATATTATGCATCTTAAAATTATTTCAATTATAAAATTTGAATTTTACGCTTTCAGATTGCTAAAATAATCCAACAAACCAATCATTGAAGAAAATAAAAGTAAGAAAAATGAAGCACTCCAATATTTCACTCCGTTTTCTTCATTTTTTACACGATCATTGTTGTAAAATTCGTTTATTACTAATTAAAAATTGTTGCGGAAACA